GTGGTGAAGCAAGCAATGGTTGGAAAATGACGACTATCAGGATACAGAGGATGTTAGAGATGTGCCTCTTTCCTAAAACAAAACACAAGACATTTTGAGTTACTTAATGTGTACACCAAATAGAACAGCATATAGGGTTTGGGTGAAATTGCTGCAGACAATTTCTAGCACTTGATAACTATGCATGATCTAGATGGTGTTGACATCAATGAATTTAGGTATGAAGACACATCCCTAATCCCTGTTATTTACTTTATTTTGAGATATTTGTAGGGGCGTTTCCGTCTCTTACCTTTCATGGTGAAACGTTCGTGAAAGATTCGCTTGGATTCTTCAGTAACATGTTCAGAGGGTTCCCATGAGGGTTCTGAGTAACCAACCCACTTGACTAAATAGTAACGTTTGCCCTGTTGCATGCGTTGACGCAATAGCTTTTCAACTGGATAGTACTGGTCACTTACCTTGGGTGACTGTTGTTCACAAACAACGTCTGTGGTCTGTGAGAGTGACTGATTGGTTTCCGAGTGTTCCCCTGATTGTGACGGGGTTATGACATCTTCAGGGCTACCCTGGGAATCGTCACCTACCTTTGATACCTGTTTCTCAAAATTATCATTGGTGGTTTGAGAGAAGGTAGGTCTGTCTTCTAATTGGGAAGGAGCAGTGTCCTCTTCCAAGACATCCTGCTGTTTATCCGTGTCCACAGCTATCTGTGTACCAGGTCGATTCTGGGCAGGGTTTGTCTCATAAAATGGTTTCAACCTGTTGGCATGAGTGCGTGATGGCAGCTCTTTCAATGTTTCTCTATTTCGCAGCTGATAAGTGTCGTTTGAACACTTACTGCTGATAAGATAAGGGCCTTTGTACTTTGGTTCGAGTTTGGGTGACCGTTTCTTAACCGTGACTGGATTGGTCATCCAGACGAGGTCACCTTCATCATAAGTACACCCTTTAGCCTTGGAGTCATAACGTTGTTTCATTTTCTCCTGGACTATCTTCAAGTTTTCTGTAGCCACTGTGTTAGCAATTCTCAGGTTATCCAATACCCGTGAGACATGTTCCACTGCATTTTTACCTAACGAAGTCTTTGGTAATATTGCTGTGTCAAAGGGAACATGCATTTCCTTGCCAAAAGCATGTGAAATGGAGAGAATCCTGTAGACTGTACCCTTGGTGTCATGCGGAATGCCATCATTATCCCTGGAATCAAACTAGGCCAGTTTGAGTGATCAGTGTCACAATATGTGCGAAGGGACTGAAGGATGGTACTGTTTGTCCGCTCACAGGCGGAATTCGTCATTGGATGGTAGCTACTTGTAAGATGACGTGTTACCTGGAAGATTTCACATAGAGCACTAACAAGTTTAGACGTGAAGTTACGACCTTGGTCAGAGACAATGGCCCTTGGAGCACCATAACGACAGAATATCTCCTGATATAAAACACGTGCCACTTCTGTGGCTTCCTGGGATTTGAGAGGGAATGCCTCCGACCAACGGCTGTAGGAATCTACCACCAGAAGGATGTGTTTGTAGCCTTCAGGTGTCTCCGTCAATGGTCCAAGGAAGTCAATGTGATACCGCTCAAATGTCTCAGTGATGGGCAGTGGATGGAGAGGTGCTCTGTTAGGATGCCGTGAAACTTTGGAGACTTGACATTTATGACATGACTTGATGTAATCATGAACGTACTGATACATCCCAGACCAATAGTACTTGAGTCTGAGAGCCCCATACACTCTGTCAGCACCAAGGTGACCACCACCTGCTTGAGAATCATGGTATGAGAGAAGAGCATCCCTACGGAGGCTCTTGGGAAGGGCTAACTGACGAATGAGCTTATCAGCTGCTTCCATCTTGCGAGTACGAGGCTGGTAGAAATGGTAAAGTACCCCATCTAACATGTCATACTCATGAGCAGTGTTTTGAATCCTTTTCCTCTGGTTCATATCTTGTGGTAAAGAACCATCTTCGAGGAAATTTACAATGCCTTTGAAATCAGGGCACTGCCGTTGCATTTCTCCAATATTTTCAAGATCAGGAGAAGAGGGAGTGGAGGTTGTCTCCATAATGGTATCCACAGCCGAGATAGATGGGGATGGGGTATCATAGAAAAACTGAATTTCGAGGATTCAGGTTTTGTGTCGTGGTTGTCATTGACATCCATGGTCTGTATAGGAGGGTAGGTTCTCCTAGATAGTGCATCAGCATTGGTGTTCACTCTCCCAGGCCTGTGAACAATGTCATAGGTGTACTCTTGCAGTTCAAGAGCCCATCTATGGAGACGACTGGTAGTGTGCTTGATGCTCTGCAACCAGACTAGGGCCTTATGGTCTGTAATGATTTTGAAGGGTTTACTCGTGAGATAAATGCGGTTGCACTTGACTGCTTCTACCACTGCTAGACACTCCTGTTCACTGACAGTCCATTTCTTCTCATATGAATTGAGAGATCTTCCCCCATATGCAATTGCTCGTTCCCTACCCTGGTCATCTAACTGGCCTAAAACATAGCCGATTGCTGATCCTGATGCATCTGTGGTGAGGATAAATGGTTTCTGCATATCAGGGTAGGCCAAGACAGGAGCCTGAACAAGACTTTGTTTCATTTGTTCAAATGCAGTTTGGCAAGTGTCCGACCAGTGAAAGGGGGTATCTTTCTGTAAAAGGGCATTTAGTGGTGCTGCTAGTTTGGAATAACCCTTGAGAAATTTTCTATAGTAATTGCACAATCCTAAACAGTAATACAGAGTAATTGTGAGATATATTAAACGACGCCACGTTCCACATAGACCTAAGGGTTTCGCCGAGGGTCGAACATATAGTTAAGGTATCTACAGTAGATTACAGTTAATATAGAATAGCAATGGTAAAGATTTGTCAAAGTAGAAGAAAGTAAAGTTTCTTACCTGAGTAAAATAAACAAGGAGTTTAATACACAGCAGTCACAGGATGATTTGTGACTGTGTGTCGTCCCTGTTTTATACCTATTCCAGTTATCATAGATAATCCATTTACTGATAAAGATGACGATAAAGTTGTTGTTGTGAACTTCAGTTGCTGTATCTTAATCCTATTGCCTAACTCGACTGACGATAAGGTGCCTACTGCGCATTTAAGAACTCTATCTTGGCAGGGTTGTCTAATGATTTTGATAAACGTCGGTGTTGATGATTGAAGTTCACAGTGAATTTGATTAGCCTATCTCTATCTGCCAACACATACAAGATACTGGTCTCGGACGTTCGTTATCATTGTGACCCTTGGCGGCTTGCAGATTGTGAAACGTGGTCAGTTAGTCTGTAACATTTCTGTATTTCAATAACGTATACTGTCATAACATATGTTAAAACATTGTGCTTTTCTCCCATGTTAATAATATGATAGACCATATCCAAGTGTATCAAGGCATAGAACAGTCCATGTACAGTGATGCATAATTTTACGGGGCACTATACAAGTGCCTCAAGGCTTGGAAGATATAACAATCCATATACAGTATTATATAATTTTACAAGGTAATTATACAAGACTCGAGTACGTGATCTTCAATATCGCCATTTTGTTATCAACAGTGGCTTTTCTAACAAAGTAATCATTAAGTAAATTTGCTTTGTCAATATCATTTTCGTAAACAATTCCATCCTTTTCTAAACTCGGAAACAATTTTGATTTTTTCGATTTATTTGCGTAGTTCTTTATAATTTTCCACCAAAGTTTGCTGTCCGATACGATACTTAGCTTCTCGTCAAGTTTGGCATTGTATTCTTGTTTACATCTTCGAACTTCGGAAATAACTGTATTTCGCTGAAGACGAAAACTATGCCAGTCTGCATGCTTATTGGGATTTTTAGCTTTCTCGGTTACGTTTGCCCATTAATCGACGAATATGTCCATTCATCTATGGTTCGTCGTTCGGACATGGAAAATATACCTGTCTAAATAATGTGATACATAACAGTACAAGGTACGAGCACAACAATTAAAGAAAAGAGAGAAGACAATTAAAGAAAAGAGGGATGGGGCTGATTCTAAAACAAACAAATCGTGCTGACTATTTCAGATACGAAACATCTGCACGAGATCTAACACCAATATTGATGAAAAGTTTCGATTTACATTTTACCTGCGTGCCAACTAGCAATTTCACATTGGACATGTGTAACAAGATCCAAGCAGGAATCATTAGTGACAGCTGTCTTCATCATTCGTGATCAACAAGTTTGAAATAAGTGACACCTCACAGAGAATGAAACATGCAACAGTGGAACTCTCCTTGTGTGGTGAAATAAACATTGATTATATGTCTGAATTTGAACTGAACTGTATTTACACTCGGGTCGCGTCATTAGAGGTACATGTTTGCATCATTATGCACAGCCTACCCATCAAAAGTTTAGACTCACTAGTGTAAATGTAGACACTTACTTCAGTCTACTGTTCTAAACCAGATTTTGCAATGTATGTTCATGAGTTCAGTAAATGATGAAAATCAGTAAAAAATTCCAAATTCTTAACAAAACTTTACACCAAAACGCAGCTGTCCGAATTAGCGATATTTGCACTTGCTCTTTACCAATTTCATGCATGATCCTAGTGCAATTCATCTGCATAAATTTTGCAGTTGGTTCCCCCAAGTTAGTGGAAAAATTCATCTTCAATGTAAACACACTACAAAACAACAACAGCCTAAAGGTGTGGTCTACAACATCAGCTGCGACTGTGGCAGCAACTACAACTACCTTGGTGAAACATCCAGACTACTCAACATACGCATCAAAGAACATAAGACATCCACAAACAATGCAGACACTAAATCAGCCATTTCGGAACACATCACCAAATTTCCACAACACAGCATCAACTGGGACACTGTCAAAACACTTACAAACAACAAACATGATTACACTCAGCGGAAACTGGCCGAGGCATTACAAATACGCCGTTTTAACCCCTCTATTAACAGGGATCAGGGCTATACATCCCATCAGCCTACAACCACGTAATCCACAAATAATTACCCACTCACCCACCCTGGCTTCTCATCACATTCCTCACCACTAGCTTCCCACTAATTCACCCCCCACCACCTTGGCTTCTGCCTAATTAACTTACAGTCACTAATTGTCTTGGTAATCCCACCCATCTCATTCATGTTATATGAGCTCATCACCATGCTATTGTAGCTCATCATGTAACTTTCTTTGATGCTTTGTTTCCACCTTTGTTATTGTTATCTCTTTATCTTATCTTGTATATAAACTGGTGTACCCCTTCATTCCCCAATATGCTTGAAAACGGTATAAGAATCTATACCGAAACGTCGCCATTGTTAAAATAAAGAAGTTGATCATCTATAAAGTCTTGTCATCTCTATACCACCAACTTCTAGAATGCCACTCAAACAAAAAAAAAATTGTGTGTGTATCAAAATAAAACCATCTGTTATGTTATTTTATTTAATACAGCTCTCAACGTTATTTATATGTATTATCTATCATGTAGACAATAGAAATTAGTGCCGCAATGAAAGCACAAATAAAAATGACATTTTACAGCGTGATCCTTGTTCAGTTATTTTCCGGTGAACATTTTAGCATTAACCGTACCGTTGTAAAAACATTGACTGCCCATTGTCTGGAACTAGTCTACCTCAACGACATACCCCTCCAAACTGACCAGTTTGTTTTCACACGCATCCAAAGGTCGAACTTACGGGACCTAACCATTTGGTACACATGTCAGCCTCGCAGCACACCCGGGCCCACGCTCTTAGCCTATTTCACTAAACCTAATCAATCACTAATCAATCCTGTTAGCACTTGCTGGTACATTCATTCATTCGGTCGGTCGGTGGGTCGGTCGGTCAGTAGCTCAGTAGCTCAAGTCGATCAACATTGACATGTACGTGCATTTAAAATAACTGTTCTGACAAATATAAGAGGCACAATACTTTCGATATTCATAAAAAATCGAAGCAAATCAGTCGATTGTTCTGTTCCGGCCTTATCATTGAAAGTGTTTGTGAATCACTACCAAATGGCCGTGTTAGCGCACCCTACCCTACCGGCGGTACCCGTCACAAACACATGCAAAGGCAAGGTAAGAACCTATGGTACAAGCCAAACTAGGGAACTGAATTGAACTTTTTCTGATGCGATGAATTTGGGACTGTCTTCCACATGTCTACTATAAAACGTTCTACTTGGCCTTGACGTCCTTTGAAAGAACATGCTTTTGGGGCCTTAGGCCATGTCCCATATGAATTCATCTAATTACGATGATCGTGGCGTTTTTGTTTTTTGCGTTTTTGGAGTTTGTATTGTTCTTCGAATAATTCACAGTATTTCCTTCTCCACTCAATTTTGAACAGTCATAATGTATATTATTTTCACATCTTTTTCCCTAATGGGATCCGTTATGGGGGATAATCAGCTATTTTCTGAAGTTGACGATTTATGTTAACCTGGACTGGATGCACTGAAGTCCCCAAGTTTCATCATAGTCGCAAAAGCAGGTATCTTTTGTGAGTCATGATCATTTGCAAAAGAAATACTTTTACTGAGACCCTTTATTATGTTGCAAAAAAACCATATTTCTTAAACGTTCTTTATTCACTTATAATATAACCATAAACATTTTAAAAGCTTTACTGGGGTCTTGAATGTTGTAACCTTGATCAAACAGCTTGTGAACGCTGTCGTATGTGACGTTCTTAGAATCTTTGTAACAAGGCCATGCTTGATTGGTTTTGGGAAATGTAGACACAAATGGCTGGAGCTGCTGGTATATTGCTCGACAGAGAGGGAAAGTTGGCTAACGGAATATTGTTTATTTCGAAGTAATACAAGAATAGCAAGCACACCAACTGCTACATGTATGAGGGCAACATGCATCCGGGATGAGTACCAGTAACACTACAGTGATATTGATAAAATGATAACATTTCAAAATGGTGTCAACTAGAAATTGCGCAGTGGACACAACCGTGCACCAGGAACCATCAATGACAGCTGACGTTGTCATCCGTGTTGAACGCGTGATACGTGTACGTATTCAGGTGATACATGGACCCGAACACACCAAAACAACACGAAATGGACATGGTTCATAATTATCAAATGTCAAGCCGGAATCAACAATGACACATTGTTATCTGTGATCAACCAGTTGATATGGGTGCTACACGCACCACCCAGTGGGATACGTGTTGTACGATGACAAAAACATAAACGTATAGTGTAAATGTTAAATGTCCAGTCTAGAATAAGCGTGTATCTACTGCTCTTTCCATACAGTCTAAATGGAAAACAGTGATCAAATGTATATAAATCAATGTTAACACCAGATATATATGTTTTCATTTTTGTACTTTCAAATTCATCTTTATTTAACATGTTATTTGCATTGTTAGAGGAATTCTCATTGCCGGCATCTGACCATAGTTCCATTTTACATCTTCCATATATTCTTGTTGTTTTTAAGGCAGGCATAATGCTTACGAAATGTGTTCAGGCCTTTGTCCAAACATATGTTGAAAAACTATGAAATATATATTATTAAAGTCATGTAGTTTCTGAGTTCCTGGCCTGCACATCCAACCCGGTAACTGTATCATTAAGCCCAATGGCATTTTAATTTCAAATCTCGGAATGAGAAGAAAAATACACTAATACAAATATCCATAGCTAGTTACAAATCCAAAAGATGTCTTGGGTTCGAATTCCATTTAACAACGTTTTTCAGCCATTAGTTTCCAAATTAAGATTTATGTAATCAGAATTTATTTTTTTATTTGAACATATCTTTTTAATTCTGAACATGCTGACAAAATATAGCAGACACTAATCGTGCCAGGACGTTTTCATTCACCGTGACAATATTATAATCAACATTGACGTGAACCTACAACAATGAGATGCTCTGATTACCACACAGAACATCAGATTACCATACAGAACATCTGATTACCACACAGAACATCTGATTACCACACAGAACATCTCAAAACATCTGATTACCTCACAGAACATCTGAAAACATCTGATAACCACAGAACATCTGATTACCACACAGAACATCTGATTACCACACAGAACATCTGATTACCACACAGAACATCAGAACATCTGATTACCACACAGAACATCTGAAAACATCTGATTACCACACTGAACATCTGATTACCAAACAGAACATCTGATTACCACACAGAACATCTGATTACCACACAGAACATCTGAAAACATCTGATTACCACACTGAACATCTCATTATAACACAGAAAATCTGATTACAACACAGAACATCTGATTACCACACTCAACATCTGACTACCACACAGAACATCTGATTACCACACAGAACATCTGATTACCACACAGAACATCTGATTACCACACAGAACATCAGAACATCTGATTACCACACAGAACATCTGATTACCAAACAGAACATCTGATTACCACACAGAACATCTGATTACCACACAGAACATCTGATTACCACACTGAACATCTGATTACCAAACAGGACATATGATTACCACACAGAGCATATGATTACCACACAGAACATCTGATTACCACACTGAACATCTGATTACCTCATAGAACATCTGACTACCACACACAACATCTGATTACCACACAGAACATCAGAACATCTGATTACCACACAGAACATCTGATTACCACACAGAACATCTGATTCCCACACAGAACATCTGAAAACATCTGATTACCAAACAGAACATCAGATTACCACACAGAACATCTGATTACCACACTGAACATCTGATTACCACATAGAACATCAGATTACCACAGAGAACATCAGAACATCTGACTACCGAACAGAACATCTGATTACCACACAGAACATCTGATTACCACACTGAACATCTGATTACCACATAGAACATCTGATTACCACACAGGACATCTGATTACCACACAGAACATCTGATTACCACACTGAACATCTGAAAACATCTGATTACCACACAGAACATCTGATTACCACACAGAACATCTGATTACCACACAGGACTTTTGATTACCACACAGAATATCTGATTACCACACAGAACATCTGATTACCATACAGAACATCTGATTACCACATAGAACATCTGATTACAACACAGGACATCTGATTACCACATTACCACACAGGACATCTGATTACCACACAGAACATCTGATTACCACACAGAACATCTGATTACCACACAGAACATCTGATTACCACACAGAACATCAGAACATCTGATAACCACACAGAACATCTGATTACCACACAGAACATCTGATTCCCACACAGAACATCTGAAAACATCTGATTACCACACAGAACATCTGATTACCACACAGAACATCTGATTACCACACAGAACATCTGATTACCACACAGAACATCTGATTACCACACAGAATATCTGATTACCACACAGAACATCTGATTACCACATAGAACATCTGATTACCACACAGAACATCTGATTACCACATTACCACACTGAACATCTGATTACCACACAAAACATCTGATTACCACACAGAACATCTGAAAACATCTGATTACCACACAGAACATCTGATTACAACACAGGACATCTGATTACCACACAGAACATCTGATTACCACACAGAACATCTGATTACCACACTGAACATCTGATTACCACATAGAACATCTGATTACCACACAGAACATCAGAACATCTGATTACTGAACAGAACATCTGATTACCACACAGAACATCTGATTACCACACTGAACATCTGATTACCATACAGAACATCTGACTACAACACAGAACATCTGATTACCACACAGAACATCTGATTACCACACAGAACATCTGATTACCACACAGAACATATGATTACCAAACAGATCATCTGATTAACACACTGAACATCTGATGACCACACAGAACATCTGACTACGAAACAGGACATATGATTACCAAACAGAACATCTGATTACCACACTGAACATCTGATTACCTCATAGAACATCTGACTACCACACATAACATCTGATTACCACACAGAACATCAGAACATCTGATTACCACACAGAACATCTGAT